ATTAAGGTATGCATCACATATTATAGAGAAAAAAGGTGATCATTGACAAACAAAAAGCATTTTTATAGGGCTCGAGGATGTATGTAGTATCATGCCTCCTGGAAGATATCAGACACCACAAATTTAGCTCTGCAAGAACCGTAAAAAAGAGTTTTTCTCAAACCATGCTCATAAATGTCCTAAAAACTACATGGATATTTCAAGAAGATATGTACATATGTACTCCCTCTAGTTCTCTTTTAGTTGACACTTTGGACAGGATTCCAAATACCAACGAGCAATTAATTAGCATCGTTATTTCTTGTTTTATTCATATTAAATACATTCGGTTATATCATTAAGCAATACTCCCTTTCAAACCACCACTCCCAAAGTGTTAGGTTATTTAATTTGGGGTCATAATAAACTTCCTGTATTTCACAATATTTTAAAAGTAAGACAAGAACAGGGCCACAAGGTCATATTTACATTAGCCCGATATTAAACCTAATTAAGCAAGTAACCAATTGCGCACCTTCTCAATAGGGAGCGTCAACACCACGCCGACCAGTATGGACGCGATGGTGAGGTAGATATATAATCGAAATCCACATGGTAGGCATTATGCCTGTGATGGTGAGGTGGATTTGTAATCCAAATCCGGTTTCATGCAAAGCAGTAAAGCAATCAACGATGAAGAGGAGTTGAAGATTTATTCACTTGGAAAAGAAATGCCTACCGAACAGATGAATCTTTGAATGTTGGCCAGCATTTGCCTCTGAATAGAGAACATATGAATCTTTGAATCGTTCAGAAGGTGCTTGAGGTTGGCCACGACCACTGCTAGGGTGTCATCAGCAGAGGTGGGTGCAGGCGTGCAACAACGTACCGAGGAAAGCAGTGGGCAAAGTCTAGGTCATTGAGGACAGCACACAAATGTGAAGGAGGTCAGGGGCATTGACGCCGTCCAAGAGGGCCAACCGATGTCGCTGAAGCTTGGAGGAGAATATGCGCCTCGGCTCACTAGCTCGCGGCAAGAGGCCGCGCGCCCAGCAACGCCGCCGCTGCCGCCGCTGCTGCTGCAACTTCAGCTGCCTATCAACCGCAACGGTAGGCACCATTGTCACCACGCGCGGGGAGCGGCGAACCGAGCGGATTCGTGCTCGTGTGCACCGAGGGCTGATACAACCAGTCCGCCGGGGGTACGGCGGCGGAGATGGCGGCACGCCTGCGCGTGGGAGGAGATTGCCTCCCGTTCGTCGGAGCTCGTCGCTGGCTCAGTGCCGCCCAGCTCCTCACCCATCCTCGCGCGCGGCCATCGAGCTCCTTGCCCCAATCCAATGATGAGGAGGGGACAGCGGCGGGCTGGATTTGCACCGCAGCTGCTCGAGGAGACCTGTTGTCGTGCCGCCGCGTAGCTTTGAGGGGCGTCGTCATCGTCGGATCTCGTCGCTGCTCCCCAAATCCATGTGCGCCTTTATGAGGAGGAGATGGTGGCGGCAGGGCATGGAAGAAGAGGCGGCAGCAAGGAGGAGAGGAGAGAGAGAGAGAGAGAGAGAGAGAGAGAGGCGACTAGTAAGTGAAGGAGGTAGCGGCTGCGACGACAAGGGGATGAAAAGCGGCAGTGGTGGCAAGGCGTGTCGAAGAGTTTGAGGTATAGGCAGTAGCGGCGCCGCCGCAAAAGGGGGAGGGGAAGGATTCTCTGGAATGGTCTGTTGGTTTATTTGCCTGACTCTTTTTTTTCCTTTTTTTTTCGGGAGTGGGCATAGCCGCATAAGGGAAAGGAGGGCACGTGGCACGATTTTAGGAGAGGTAACCTAGATCGTGGAAACGCCATGTGGCCCAATGACAAGCCACGGTCTGGACCTAGAAATCAATATTACAGTCCTAGCGGTCGATGTGGTTACTTAGTAGGTTGTATGGCGAACAACATGCTTCTTGTGGGTTTTTCACGGTCTGTAATCACCCTCTGAATTTTTAGAACACATATATGGAGATTGTGAGGAACTGATTTGATGAAGAAGTACAATTTGTCACATACAATAGCGATTAGATTAAAGTGCATAGGACATCCATGGTTCGATGTTACAAATTGTCTCACAGTAACCCGTAGTTCATCACATTGTGGCAAAGTCTAAAATTGGCATCGAGCACCATGGGAGTAGGTAGGGCTAATGCCGGATTTCTTGGGATCAGAAACACCCCCAACACACACACGCACGCACGCACACACAAAATCACAATGGACCCAACACAATTGTTGAAAAGACACCGCAGCTTCACCTGCTTGGGTGTTTCAAGTAGGAATTAAGCTAATAGTAAGGTTTAAAAGAGTTTAAAACCTATGAAACAAATTAAGGTACTAGCATTACACATTTTAGAAACTACAACGACTCATAATGCATAAAATATTAATGACCTGCTACAAGTGTAACATAAATATACAATTAAATCATGTTAAATTTGGAAAATCTATATTGATATATCCTTGTCGTGTTTTCAAGGCTTGGATTGGAGTTTTTTGCAATTTGGTGTTTTAATATTCATTCATAAATAAGATAGCTGACATATAAAGGAAATAAAATTTACTTCACCAAATTCAAACGATGCACCCAAGCACATATCTTATTATTTGATTTTGTGTCTTCCTAGCTAGTACTCAAAATGCAATTGCACGAATTATTTAAAGTTGGAAAATAGTGTGCCCATCGTGATCTCAACCACACATATAGTAATCATTCCTCAAATTAGCGCAATGTTGCATCTCAACTCAAATTTTAGGAAAAATCACTTCACTTCTCTTCCAAGTAGGCCCCAATTCCCCTAACCCCACCCGATAGCGGTCCAGGACTACCCCTCTATCTACTTTTTTTCCTATAGCTCGCTCTGTCGCATGCTTGCAAGTGCATGGATGCGCTTCACGTGCATGCAAATGAGTCAAGCCCAGTCAGCTCTTAGCCTCACCTACCCTGTGCACCCACTGTACCACCATGCTGTTCTAGTCCTTGAGTGCTAGCCCAATGCCCTCGACACCCGAAACCTCTCGTCGAGCAAGTATAGCGGACTTGCGCGTGACACACTGGTCACATCCTCCTTCCCTGATGCACCATAGCGTCACATTCCATCAACGCATTGATGAGGCAAATGGACGCAAAGCCAAGCTCATGGACTAACCTCTACCTTCAACCCAATCCTGGCACTATTATGTCCCTCAGCTTGTTCTCATCCTCTCCGCATTTGAACCCAAGCACCTTGCTCCGCGGTTTGTTAGAAACAGAGGCACAATTGTTTGTGCCAGTAGGCACACGATCAAACCATCGTAGCCCTTATGAGAACCCCCCTCTCCCCTCGAACCATGTGAGTCACCATGATTCCCAAACTCTGCTAACGCCATTACCTTTATCCATAGCGAGCTTCGGCTCGGTCAGGAATAACAAGATCGGCACCTCCCTATGCTTTGGCCAGAAGGAGCCACCCAACAGCATGAAATCATTTTCTCATCTCAGTAAGAATCCACGTGATTCATTCTGCACGCGTGACCGACTGCTCCTTGAACATTTCTCCCTAACCAATTTTAGAATCCAATTGGCGGAGCACAGCTACCACTTTTGCTATCATCCTCCATTGTTAACCACAATGGACTAACCTGGTAAGTGAGAAATCCTTTGGTTTCTTTGCCATTTAGCCACCCTAATATACCAATGAAGCCAATCATATGCTCAGTTGTAGCAAGGAAAACACCGAAGCACCGTTGCTAGAGTTGGGCACTTCCGTCGAAATACTGTGGTATCGTTGGTCCTCTCTGAGCTGCCCCGGCCCCAACTAATGCTCCTCGCAGTCCCTACATGCTTTCATAGGAAGGAATCGAACCTCTTTTGCTATAGATGGACCACACCGTTGACTCGACCGGTGTCATTGCCATTCATATGCCGCTACCTCCATGGTTTTAGTTGTACGACATCGTCGAAGTGGATATTTGGGAGAAAACACACTCAAAATATAGAGGTAAGTGGTGCATGGATAGAGTGCATCGACTTTGAGGGGCGACGATAGCTGGATCACTTGCAGTGGGGCCTTTGGCGAGGTCGTGATCAATGTCCTCTACACCAGTGAGGATAATAGCTCATCGTAGTCCACCTTCATGTGCCTTTGTCATTGATGGAGTGCTGCTATTCTGATGCTGCCATGGTTTGCGACACTGTGACCATCACCACAGCCTCAAGAATGGGCTAGCCTACTCGTGGATTTCAGGCCAATAGAGGCAGGATGTTGCTGCCATGGGCTCGCTGGACAAGGTGGTAGCCAAGTTCATGACGCCGACGATGGATTCCATGCTGGAGAAGGTGCAGAAGGTACCACCATGCTGCTATCTATTGAGGCGGTGATGATCTCCATCACGTGATCCAGCTGTGGTCCAAGGTGAGACGTGAGGTGCCACTCATGTACTGGTATCATCATCAGAGGAAGACAACCAAGTGTCCACTGAGTTCTGTGAGGTATCGCTGGAGGCTATCAACCGAGCAATGCACCATGAGATCTAGCTAGAACATTTTTTTTTCACGCTAGCTAATATATAGTTTTTCTTTTACTTCCTCTTGTCACGATAATTTCATGTTTTAGACTTTGTCAGATCAGGGGAGTAATATGAGCGTGACGGCACCATGAAGCAGTGAGCACATTTGGGAATGGGCGTGAATTTGGTTGGGGTTAGCGGGCCATTTGGCCTATTGGAATACCTCAGGCATTTTGGACCTTTCTGCATTCCATCTCTCCTCACTAGACCAAAAATAATAAAATAGTAGGGCTTGTGTCCGCACCAAAAAGTTGTGATAACTAAAACCACTTCTATAGTTGTCCTATGCCTATAACTAAAGCTAGAAAGTTGTGATGTATGGCAGCAAATTTGAAAAAAAAAAAGACAAAAGAACACACGGTCTTCAAATATAACTACAATATAGATATTTGCAGACATATTTGGAAAGCACAATGGTGAAATTTGAACATAATTTTGCTCTATGATTGGATCAGAAGGGTAAAATATTTATTTTGCGATTACATGGAAGGCGCATAGATACACACACCTACAAGTGTGCTTCTAATTAGCACAAGCTAAATTGAAGAGACAGAGGCAGTAGCAAATCCTTGGCCTCACTAAATTCCAATTAAAAGCTGACCGCAAATTTTTTAGGAAGACAATTAGTACTACACTAGATAATACAGGATGTGGAGTTCACCGCTGAAGTTCCAGATCATTCAACATGCCTTCAATCAAGGTCCACTAGATGCGCCGTTCTTTCCATTGGTATTCTCATGGCTGGCAATTTCGTTGTTAAGGCCTCTTGGCGGCACTGAGCCCAAGTCACCGGTAGAATCAAAAGCAAGCATCTCTTGCGTCCCATCTATAGCAGTAACTACACCCTGCTGGAGTAAGTCTCCATCAAAGAAGCTGTTCATTAGCACATCATTATCCAGCTGATCTTCCAGTCCAACTAATTCTGGCCAATCCAACATCACATCGTTGCCACACCCAAGTTCTACTGTTTGTGAAACAGACATTTCTTGGGTCTTAGAGTTTTGATTATTGATAGCACTAGAGCTAGTTGGATGGCTAGTCCCAGGGTTTTGATCACTAATAATACTGTAGTTAGCTGCCAATTCATTGGTGCAGAAGCTTTGACTTGGTTGCGTTGGCTGTCCCATGTTTGATGGCAACGATGCACTAACAACATGCAGGAGGTTCTCATTTGTAACAAGCACACCACGAGTACCTGAAGTACCATTGCTCATCGCACTTCCTCTAGCCTGGCTGTTTCCATTTTCATGAGCATCACGACTGACTGATGTAATCTCACTATGAAGGCTTGCCTGTTCAATAGTTGATTCTTGACCAATTGCAGTTCCTAGAGATCTCTGATGGCTGGAAATGAAATTCTCGATTTCTTTAGCTCCCACTCCCACATAGTTGCCTGCTTGGGTATCAGTCGTAGTTAGACAACCATTTGATGTGGCCATGGAATGAATAGGCCGTCCAGAAAAACTTGAACTTTGCTGTCCTTCAGTTATGACTGAACTTTGCTTCCAAGTACTATAACCTCTATCTAGGCAGTTGGTGTAACTCAGTGGGTTGCATGGTGAGCTGCTTGTTGCTTCTTCCTTTTTTCTTTCATTTTCTAACCAGCTTCTGTATTTCTGGAATGTCGAACAATCATATTGGACATAGTGAGGAATATGGCAAAAAAAATCAATATATAGATATAACCAAGTATGCGTTTTAGTTTGGATTCCCCCAGAACATTGATTTGTTAATCTAAAATTTATGCAATAACTAATACACATTAACTATATATATATATATATATATATATATATATATATATATATATATATGTCATCACTGAAAGATACCAAAGAAATATTAGTTTATATATTAGTCAGAAATATATACTGACCTGTAGATGGCTTGAGACTTGAGTTTTAGTTACAAATATACCATCAAGTTCCATCAGTTGCTTTATCTTCTTTGGACCTGCATAAGAAAATCAATATATGTCAGACGCAGAAAATATTAAAAGATTGTAGCCATGATCATGTGTACTTGTGAATTTAGTATGGGATTAACAGGTGCTCATGTTTCATTTCTAACAAGATTGATATGAAAAGTTATAAATTAATTTGCCTTGAGCAAAATCTCAATGAATTCAATCCTTCAAGGTCATAAACATGGAACAACGCAAATTAACATCACAAATCGCAAATAAGTTTGCCCAGTGAGAAGTGTTATGAAAATAGATTCACAAGAGCACTATATTCATATATTAAACATAAAGCATTCCTTCGGTCATGCCATTTCTACCTCAGGAAATGCTTACAAATTAAAATCATACTACCATGGCTGATATTAGGTGTGCTGTGATAAGATCACATCCGTGTAGTATATGAGATGTAGTTATATCCCAAATTTGTTGTCAGTGCCTTCTCTTTATAACTAAGATCCTACTGTAATGGCTAAGAAAGTTATACATAAATATATATGATAGGTAAGCACTTCAAAGAAAAAAAATCTAGGTAAGATTACAAATTAAGTAAAGAAGTTATGAATTAATGTTTTTGCACATGATCAGTTATATATATCTTTTTAATTTTGTATGAAGCCTTTGCAAATAAATCTTGCATTTGATTAGTTTCTCAGCAACTGAAGAAATTCCCCACAAATGCTGCACTAACTTTAATTGGACCAATTATCCAACTATTCTTAATGGTTGATTTCATGTTTGGACGACTGCACTAGTCCAACGTAGACTCTGTACGGTACCTTAGGAATTCCAAAAACATTATGTAATCACAGTAATACGATGAAAAGTAAATGCTTTACTTTGTACAATGCAAGTGATAATTAACCATGCATTGATTAAATTAAGCACATTCAGAATAGATGCAAGAAAGCAAATAGGGATCGATGCATTAGTTCATACTCCCTCCATCCTTAAAAAAAAAAACCAATCCTAAATTTGAATCTAAACATAGCGTATGTTTAGATTCAAACTCATAATTGGGTTTTTTTTTTGGGACGGAGTATGTATATATCATGATGTTGTTAATTTGATCCATGGGGTCTCACCTTCTTGGTCCTTCAGCTGCTCGTATGCCCTGACAAACGATGTGTGCGACACCGTCGTCCATGTGAACCTTGTCCTCACCTTCTTCCTCCCCGTCGTCGCCTCCAAATTGTTGGAGCCCCTGTCCGACACTTCTGACGCGCCCCTCTTCTTCGAGGGGGCCTTCGCCGCCGCAGCCACCGCCGGCGGCGGCGCCTCTTGTCCATCACCACGGCTGCTCCATACCGCTGCAGCCGCCTCTTGAACGCCAGATGGCACCAGCGCAGGAGGCTGTGTCGACAACTCTGCCTCCTCATGAGCTTCGCCATCCCTGTTCCCAGCCTGCGCCGGTGCGGCCGGCAGCTGCACCGCCGGCGGCGGCGGCGGCGCCACAGCCGCTAGAGCCGCCGCCAGGTGATCGCTTGGCTGCAGGGATGATGAGGCATTCGCGGGGAGGGCGCTGAGCCTCCAGCGCAGGACGTGCTTCCATATGAACTTGATCGCCTCTGATGTCATCGGCTTCACCATGTAGTCGCATGCGCCGTTCATCACCGTCCTCATCACCATCACCACATCTTCGCCCTCGGAGAACACTGCGAGACACATGTATTATTAATTGTCATCATCCGTGCAAAATCAGAAAGAATTTTTTCTCAAAGCAAAAAAAAAAAACAGTAAGAAAACAAAAATATTTTTGAAGAAAAAGATCAGCGAGAGCAATAGTGTCCATGTGATACATCGATCATATATATCGATCAGTTAGCATATGGATCTGATCACTTAACTGATGACAGGGACCCGGCCGTTGATCCTGTGGAGGAGATCGAAGCCGTCCATTCCTGACATGTGGACGTCGGTCATGACGATGTGGAAGTAATCCTCCGGATTCTGGTCCACCTCTTTCAGCGCTTCCTCCGCCGTCGTCTTGCCCGTCACTGCAGATATCCGACACACACGGACATAAAAATATAGCCAAATCATATAGGAATTCAAAACACAAAGATTTAAAAGATATTGTGTTTTGTGTGTGTGTGTGTGTGTGTGTGTGTGTGTGATTGTGCTTGTGTGTGTGTGTTTGTGTGTGTGAGAGAGGAGCATCAGAGAGAGGCGGCGTTGGAGTAAACAAAAGGGGAAAAGAAGAATTGTAGCTTTTTTTTTGAAACAGAAGAATTGTAGCATTAGGGCTGCACATGATTTTAGAAAGACAAGTATTAAAACCACAAGATCGGAACGTTTGTGTGTGCAAAACCTGAAGAAACTCAAAACACAGGAATCTGAAATTCATACGAAATTAATCATAGGACTTTGACGGATTAAGGGGAGAGAATAGATCGACAAAGAGGGAATATATATCCTATGAATAAGGCAAATGAAAAAAAAAACCTATACGATTTTTGCAATCATATTTCTTTGTTCTAAGAGTAAGTTCTGACTTCTGATAGAAAAATTCTCTCAACGATTGTAATCCCCCCAAAAAACCGTAGGAATTTCATTGAATCCAAAGGAGCCCTAACATGCTACAAGTGATATCCGGATTCAGTCCTTTATATGAAACAAGCAGTAGAAAAACAGCAAATCGAACAAACCAAAACACAAAACAAGAAGGGAAAAAATTTTTGAATAGTAAAAACAAGAAAGGAAATGGGGAACACACAAGATATAGACATATATGTTCGGACCTGCGTAGCCGGCGAGGAGCAGCATAAGCTTGAGCTCCTCGAGGTAGGCGGCGTCGTCGTCGACGACGAGCACGTGCAGCCTCCCGAAGAATCCTCCCGCCGGGAGCTTGCAGCCGGGAGGCACCGCGCCGTTGTTCTCCGCCATTGCCGGCCTCACCGATCGACAGACAGACAGTGATCGATCCTAGCTCGGCGAACCGCTAGAATTGACCGCCGATCGAGAGAATGTTCTTGATGGGTCAGACCAGGGCGGACAGTGACGGGAACTGCAGAGATATGGCTTCGATCTCACCTGGTCATGCGCTAGTTTATACTACTCCTAACTACAAACATTAAGGCACCCCCACCGGCCACTCTCCTCGCCATAATGATCAGTAATAGTCAGCGGGAAGACGACGAAAGTAAGAGTGATCAGCAACACGCACATCGGTAGACCTGAGTTAATGAAGTGAAACAGAAAGAATTAAATCGAGGTGATTGGCAATCGACGCTCACCGTTCGTTCATACACCAGGAATTAATCCGGCCCACATTTTGCGTTAAAAAAAACAAAGCGGTATATTTGTGGATTACATTTTTTAAAAAAACAACCTGCATAAGATAGTACGATGTTTCTTCTGATATAGAAGAAGAAAATACAAGTTTACAGTCAAGAAAAAGAAAATACAACTACACCACGTGTCTATGTCTGATCGCTACGGGAACCCAACAGGATTACTGAAGCGGCCGCCCACTGCTTTTGTTGATGCGTTGCAATTTTCAGGAGTGTTTACGATAGGACGACGAACCTGCACAATTCCTCCAATTTTTGCTGGATTAATCGATGCAACTCTCGCAACGCATGGCCGGTGTGCACGCGTCGCTCCATGGTCAGACGACGAGCAAATGCATACATCTCGCGGGGTCGCCGATCGAACACGTATTACGAGTGGCTGCAGCAGATAACAAGAGAAATATGTGAGCTAAGAGACAATTCTGATCACTTGATCAGTTGACTAAAATGTATACGAAATTAAAAACGATCATTAAAAAGGTGTTTTCAAATGCTACCGGCGCCATTCTCTGAAAAAAAAATATGAAAAACTGACGTGAGCTAGCATGTGTTGAATCACTCGTGCGGCGCTTGAGGACGCACTGGAGCTGTTGCTGATGTCTTGGCCTTCCTTTGGCTGCTGGTGTATTGGTTCTTAATCACATGCATGAACCCACACGGATTTTTTTTCGCATGAACAGCTGCTTTCAGCATCAATCGATTACCACATTGTAAAGATGTAGATTTGAAATTCGACCGGCCGACGGCTTGTGAGTTTATGCCGGCCATGCATGGTTGAGGCATCTGAATTACGATTAGGAGGTATCGCCTTGTGGATTCCTATTTTTTTTAGATAATGGATTAAAGCGGCCTCTAATGCATGAATGTTTCAGAATAGTCATTAATTTGGATAACAGCCATGAAAAATGAAGGAATATTATTTGGAGAAACATGAGGTACAACCCATGTTTGTTTTCCTCTAAAATCCTTATGAAATATGGTTCATTCCATAGAATTTCAAAGGAATTTTGAGTCATCAATCCTCTTGTTGCAAATGACTTCATATGAATTATATCATAAGGATTAATAAACTCCACTAAAACTCTTTGTTTCCTTTTTGTTCCAAAAGAACCCTAACCATGACATACATCAATGTTTCGCTTAATTAAAAATGCATGCCCACATGGCAAACAATCGGGTAAATATGAGATTAACCAGTTTATAATTTATTCTACTTCTCAAAAAACAAACAACTAAATTAACATTCGTCGCGCACAGACATCGGAGAGAGATTAATTCGTGCAGCTAGCCACCAATTCTTGGCTCCACATCGCTTCCCTTTTTCGCCATTAGTTCAAATGCTGACAAAAAAAACAGTAAGAAAAGTTGTGTTATAATTAACTAGTAGCTAGCTAGAACAAACAGCTCTGTCGGCAAATGAATGAGAGAATGCAGTAAGTGAAAAGCTGAAGATTATCATATAGGGATATTAGCAAATATAATGTTTTCATTAAATTCTGTAGAAGTGAACCGAGGAAATAAAAGACTTCCAAGTGAACTACATATTAATTAGCATGACCAGTGTAAACAGTAAACATGAAATACCTGTTAGTACGTGTGTGTACTGTAAAATCAAATCAAAAGATCATGGGGGAATGCTACTTAATGTGTGTAACTTACCGACGGGGACTTTATTTGATTACTACTGCTTTAAATATATATGCAGTTCTAAAGAACTTGCAAATTGCTAGCTAGCGATCTATCATTTTACTTCTGAAATATATATACAGAGGATGTCTAGGCTATGCATATTTTTCCAAATATATAGAAATATAAATATGTGCATATATATATATAACATATGTATATGAGAATCCTAAGTAACATGCACTTTTTTTTATGAAACACAAATATCAGCTCATATATGTTATATTCAAGAGATATAATGTCTACTGTGTTAGTTTCTCAGTTTGAGGAAAAGTACTGTGCTAGTTAATAAACACCCAAAAGAGAGCACATACCAAGATTAGTTTCGCCAAGTTCATTTTGCGCCCCATCATGACTTGTGGAAGATGAATCTCTAATCAGGGTCCCGTGATCAAAAAGATCAGCACCATTAACTATCTCTCGCCCAAATGCTCTGGCTATAATACTTGTAGCTGTGGGCACAACAACATTATTATTACCCGTAACCAGTCCTCCCACCACTCCATTTTGACCAATTTCAACTCCTCGGGGTCTCACAAAAGTTATCCGATTGAAAGGGACAATGAGATGTTGATTGTTTCCTGTTCCAATAGCTTGAAGAGCAAGCGGTATCCCATGAACAGTTTCCCCTATCGGTATTGTGGAGCAGCTTGGCAGGGCTTTTGATTTAGTTAGAGCTATTCTGAATCTCTGGAAAATGTTTTAATTAAAAAGTAAGCACAAGATTGAATTATATAATGAACATTGCAAAATTTGTGTAAACTAATGTATTGTGTTTTCAAGGTTTTGCTGATTTATTTTTCAAGAAAATCCAGATACTAGCTAGAAAGGTAAAAAAAAAAAAAACAGAATCAGATGCATGGATACACATGGCAAAGTAAAAACTAGCTATAGTGGAGTAAAAGAAACTGAGCAAAGAGTCAATTTGATTTTTTTGCCCTCAAAATTAAGTGAAAACATTATTTACTTCATCCATCATGAAGGATATTTTAAAAGGAGAATTGATGGTACAAGCATGCTGATTTTTTTAAAACATCATGAATAAAATATATAATGCAGAGATTAGTTTCAAACAAATATATCTAAGTATCTGATAGGAATCTTGCCTGTAGATGACTTGCAACCTGATCCCGAGTTAAATCTTCCCGATTCAGAAGTGGTAGTATCTGGTTTGGAGTAGCCTCTGCAATAATCAATAATATAAGAAAATACAACCAAAAGTCTATACTGTTTATCTAAAAAAAAGTTAAGTTCTAGATCAATGATTAAACCAGCATATTTTCTGAATTGACACATTTTACAAAAACATATGTGAAAATATTTTAACATCGCAAGAAGAATTAACTCAAGGAAAAACAAGTCAAGTTACAAACGAATTATGCGCATGAAGAAGTAAATTACCTAGCAGCTTAGTTAAAGCATGGCAAACCAAGTTTTTACATATATTGAAAATCTATATTACGTCACGGTAATAATATTATATATGTAACTACAAGAATCCAGGATTTTCTTGGCAAGCACAAACCGCCAAGGGTAGCATCAAAATAGTCAAGGTAATATGTTTTGTCCATCAACCAGCAAGCAATACCCGAGCAAAGGAAAGTCCATTTTCACCAACTTTAAAAATTCGAACTGTGTAGATCAATCTGATCTTCAAAGACGCAGTAAGGGAATTATTGCATGGAATGGATCATACATATCTATAGTAAATTTGCGTGTAGTTTGTTTATATATATAAATGTCCCATATACAGCGCTGATTCAGGTTTGTTTGCTGGGATTTAATTTTGAAAGGTTTGTTGCAACCTAGCTTGGTGATAGCATTGTGTTACTCTCGTTTCATGGGTAATCATGTGGAGAAAATTGGAATTTTGAATGGTCGTTCCTATGTTTGAAAAACTTTCGATTTGAGGATAAATTTGTGTGTGTGTGTATATTTAGTCCATATCGAAGTGGATGAAGGTATTATAACTTCAAGTCTCAAATTTCGAGTTGCAAAATTGGTTATTTGATTTTTTATGTACTTAGGAACTGCATGCTCTTCCTTTTACTTAATTAGGAACTGAGAATTTGATTACTAAAATGAAGAGGATAATTCCTTTAAGGTCATTGCCTTTGGGACAAACACATGATCAGGGTCACTTCAAAATGGGTCATCTTAATTAGCAATCATGATTTGTTTCTTTTAAAAAAAATAAATGACTTGGATACCTGCTTTCTTCTTAATAAATCAGAAGGTATATAACTTGAAATTTTTTTTTGGAAGAGCTTAGGGTATATATATACTTTAGGTGTTGCAGTTCTCCCTCCTAATTAATTAAATGCAATATTGTAGGTATATCTTGATGCTCTTCATTTGATCGATGGCATCCCCAGCTAGGTGGATAGCTACCTATAATAATAAAAAAGGATAAAGCGTGCTACCGATAGTAGAAGTGATCGATATCTTGACAACGTACGTCAATCAGAAACTAAAGCATGTAAGTATCATGATGATAAGAGAGTATATTTAACGTGCATTTGCAACTTAAACATGCATCAGAAATAATAGTATATATCAGCAACTTAGGCACACTAATTAACTAACAATTAATAATCAGCATTTTCTGAAGAAAATAAATTAATACAACTTATTTTCAAATTTCAGATGAGAGAGAGAGAGAGAGAGAGAGAGAGAGAGAGAGAGAGAGAGAGAGAGAGAGAGAGAGAGAGCTCTTACTATCAACTCCGAGCTGAAGGACGACGCTGACAAACCTCTCGTGCAGCTCCTTAGGCCACCTAAACCTCTTCTTGATCTCCCCCTTGCTGCTGTTTCCTGCAGCTGCAGCGCGACGACCACCGCTGCGCAGCTTCCTCCTGTACACATGCTGCCATATGTTCTTCAGTTCCTCGTGCCGCAGGGGCTTCACCAGGTAGTCGCACGCGCCGCTGTTGACACACTTCAACACCGTCCTCTTGTCGTCGTCCGCAGAGAACACTACAAGAAATATAATTTTGGGCACATATATGTATATGGACAAAATTAATTAAGATAGGAAAAGTTTCAGTTTTAAGTACGGCTTGGATGAAAGTAACGGCAATGGCCGGCTAGCTAGCTAGCTATCTCGACCAACTTACCGACGACTGGTAGATCCATGTCGGTGCCGGCGTACTGGAGGAGGTTGAAGCCGTCTATCCCAGCCGGCGCGTGCACCTCGGTGAGGACCATGTCGTAGCTCCAAGGGTTCTCGTGAAGCTCCTCCACAGCATCTCGCGCCGCCGTCTTGGGCGTCACTTCATCCACACGCCAAACGTACGTAATCTCAAAATTTGTTACAGTCAGACCTGTACATGTGCTCACACATATATTGGTGAAAACAAAGTCGAAAAAGATCATCCCGGCCGGCAGATTTATGTGTTCGTGGCTTCTGAATCTGAATCAAGAACGGGATAGAGACTGGGGATTGGGTGAGACAGATCACTGACCTTTATAACCGCAGTTAAGCAGCAGTTTGGTGATTATCTTGAGGTAGGTGGTGCTCTCATCGATGAGGAGTACCCTCATGCCCACCGGACTGAACTCTTCATCGGCGAGCTTGGATTTGTTGCTACTGGCGACACTACAAGATCCGGCCATTGTGAACCAGAACTTTTTTGTGTGTGTGTGAGAGAGGGGGGCCTGTGTTCTTATAACAAAGATAGAAATCAAATCTTACAATTAAGAGGGATTTAATGGTGCAGATATGATATAGCACATTAATTATTCCCTGCAAATGGCAAAGGCAAGCAGTTCACATGTATATGAGTGTTCTCTACACTTATCTCAACCAAGCGTACGAGTCAGTGTGCGGGCATATGACGCATGTCGTGTGGGCTTTGTGTGAGGTCAGTCCGGGCATATGACGCATGGCGCATGTGATCTCTGTGTGAGGCACGTGGCATGGCATATGGCACCAACACTAGACGTATGGATGTGCGCTAAGAGGGAGTGAGTTCCTGGGTATTTGCCTATATAAATATGTGGTTATGTGGGTAAATTGAACCGACGACGACCTTGGGTCCTTTGAGCAGGATAGGGGGGCGGGGTTTACATCCCGGCCCATTAGGATATGACCTATGTGGCCTATGAGAGCTATGTGAGCATGTTTAGTACCATCTAGTCTAGCAAGTTAGGAACCAACTTATAAGGGTTTGTCTCTCCAACCATATCACTCTCGGGTTAGCACTTTTACACAAAGCAAGGATGAAATTGTAAGTGGGTCTACCCGTTGAATGGGCTGGGCTGTGCGGTTCTGGAGGGTGGACTGTTACATTGAAGCCCCACAAAGCACATATAAATAACACAAAGTACATTTGAGGGTGGACTGTTACTTTTTAGGATGTTAATTTGTGCTAAGTATCCCAATATAAGTAACACAAAGCACATATAAATAAGTAATGAGATCGTTAGTGCAATGAAAATTTAATATGTACCGGGTTATTGGCATGGTTTCTGAAAAGACCAAGTTATTGTCAGACGAGGGTTAATTACATTTTGCAGGGTTTACGATACGAAGTATCTGCACTAGTCATCCATTTTTTTGCTTTGTTGATCGATCGATGCAGCTCTCGCATGGTACACGCGTCTCTCGATGGGTCAATCAACGAGCAGTGGATACATCTCTCGCGGTAGCCGAACATGTATGACGAGAGGCTGCAACGGCAGAGAAACTATATCAGCTAAGCGATAATATTTGAATGATCATCAGTTGAATAATATATGAAATTAAAACGACCATTCAGACGGTGTTTTCAAATGCTATCGGCGCCATTCATTGATTTTTTTTTGAAAAACTGACAAGAGCTAGCTTGCATGACGTGAGCTAGCTTGAGGACACATGGGAGCTGTTGCTAATCTCTAGCTGGCCTTCGTTTGGTTGCTGGCATATTGGTGCTTAATCACATGTATGAACCCACAAGTTTTCTTGTTGCATGAACAGCTGCTTTCAACATCAATCACCACATTGTATATATGTAGATTTAAAATTCGACTGGGCTGCTGCTTGTGAATACCCTGATGAGGTGAGGCATCTGAATGATTAGGAGGTTTTGGCTTGCACATTCCTATGAGAATTACTCCCTCCACCCTATAATATACTCCATAAAAGAGATTAATGTTATTTTTATTAAAAAAAGGAAATATCAAAATGACATGTGATGGAACGGAAGATGGTATGCGAGAAAATAAAATAGTATAAAAGATGTCAGTTGAGGGAATAAAGTAGTATAAAAGTGAGTAGGGTAGGGAATAAAAAAACAAGTAGTATAAAAGTGAGTAGGGTAGGAAATAAAAAAACTAGCTAGTACAAAAATTAGAAGGTGACGAATAAAATATTGTCTCGGACAAATTTGAAGGATACAATCCCTTATATTATGAGATGGAGGGAGTAGATATGTAGGAATGTTAAATAGTTGAAATATTTGGAAAAACGAAGGCCTAATGTTTGTTTCCCATAAAATCCTGTTGTAATGGATCATTCCACAGAATTTCAAAGGAATTTTGAGGCATCAATCCTGCGGCACAAATGACTTCATAAGAATCTTATCATAAGGATTAATTCAACTATACTAAAACTCCTCGTTCCTTTGTTTGAAAAGAGCGACGTACATCAATATTTCGTTCAATTAATTAAAATGCATGCCAACATGGCAAACAATCGGGAATAGGATTAACCAGTTTGTAGTATAGTCTAGCAAGGGAGGAACCAACTTATAAGGGTTTCTCTCCCCAACCATATCACTCTCGGGTTAGCACTTTTACACAAAGCAAGGATGAAATTGTAAGTGGGTCTACCCGTTGAATGGACTGAGCTATGCGGTTCTAGAGGGTGGACTGTTACATTGAAGCCCCACCTATCACTACCCCCAACCACCTCCACGCATCATGCAACCAACCTGGACATACTATCGGCAACATAGCTTCACCCACTAACATGTTTTAACTAGGAATTAGGTGAATAGCATGCTATAATAGTATTCAAAACATTGCTAACAAGTTAAACTACTGCACTATGTATTCTGCATTGATACTTATCAGAGTGCACATCTGCAGGGACATGGCTCATTGTAACAGCCCTCCCTCCAGAACCGCGTAGCCAGCCCATCCGACGAGCTTACACTTACACATATCACCCCACTTATACTTACGTCCTCGCTTCGTATAAAAGGGTTAACCTATGAGTGATATGGTTAGAGGGAAGAGAACTTATAAGTTGGTTCCACTCGTGCTAAACCCTCATATGTGCCACACATGCCTCATCCTAATTGGGCCAGGATGTCACATACACCCCCCCTCAAAGGATCCGACGCCCCCGTCGATCCAACTCACCCACATATCCACAAAGGCATATATAGGCAAATGTCCAGGAACACACCCCTCTTAGCGCACGTCCGTACGTCCAGTGCAAACGCCATATGCCAAGCCATGTGCCTCACCCAGAGCCCACATGCGCCATATGCTCGCATGCTAACCCGTACGTGCAATTTCGAGGGTCGGCTCTGATACCATTTGTAACAGCCCTCCCACCAGAACCGCGTAGCCAGCCCATCCGAAGGGCGGGCCCACTTACACATACCACCCTACTTACACTTTCATCCTTGCTTCGTGTAAAAGGATTAACCTGGGAGTGATATGGTTGCAGGGAAGAGGCCTTATAAGTTGGTTCAACTCGTGCTAAACTAGTAAGGTGGTACTAAACATGCGCACATAGCTGTTGATGTGAAAAACACCAAATTTGGTCGTTAACAATAGCTCATATGGGCCACACATGCCTCATCCTAATTGGGCCAGGATGTCACACTCATGCATCGAATGGGACAATAATCGTATGATGTGTGTGTTTGTGTCCGTGTGTGTGTGTGTCTGGGGGAGGGTGTGCTTGGCGGGAGAGGGGAGGTGGGGTCGGTGTACATGCGTGTGCCTCATTTATTGTGTATCATAGGTGGCTGGGTGGGCCGGGGGTAGGGGGTAAGTGTGAGTGTCTATGCATACCCCACTTATTTAACAACCATGTGTTGGCATATTATTTCTTCCCATGGATGTGTTATTATAGCATGATCAACATGGAATAGCATTATTTCTTCATTATTATGATCATAATTGCTTGTTTCATCAAACAAAAAATATGGAAAAAAAGAAGTTGCAATTTTTGTGTGTAACTAGAAGACATATGTTATGTAAGCGCAATGGTAAAACCTAAATGTAATTTTGCTCTATGTTTGGAAAAGGAGTGTAAAGTACTATTTATTTTGTGATTACAAGGAAGACACATACGCGCACACACTACTACATACACACACCTATGAGTGTGCTCCTAATTAACACACGCCTAATTAAAGAAATAGGGACCAATATCATACCCTTGAAGTGTTGGATCATGCAGCATGCCTTCAGTCAAGGATCCACCTAGTGTGTCGTTCATTCCATTGGTATTCTCATGGCTGGGAATATCGTTATTAAGCCTACATTGAGTGGAAGTCATCGGTAGTATCAAAAGCAAGAATATCTTGGGTCCCATTCATAACCGTGTCTACACCTTGCTAGAGTTTATCTCCATGAAAGAGGTTGTTCATCAACATGTTACTATCTATCTAGTTGATCATCCAAACTACCATTCTTTAGACAATCCAACATCACATTATAGCCGTTCCCAAGTTGAAATGTTTGTAGAATATACATTTCTTGGGTCATAGTGTTTTTATTATTGACAGTAGTTGAGTTAGTTGCGTAGCTAGTCCCAGAGTTTGATCACTGATAGCACTGAAGTAGCTGCCACACCATTTTTAGGCAAGCTTTGTCTTGGCTGTATTGGTTGTCTCATGTTCGATGGCAATGGTGCACAAACAACCTCTATGAGTTTCTCACTTGTAACAATGCTCTACACAATGAAAATATAAAGTATTATTACTCATTGCACTTCCTCTAGCTTGGCTCCTTCCATTTGCATGAACATCAAAACCCGCTTATATAACCTTGCTGCAAAAGAAAGCTACCTTATTAGTTGATCCATGACCAAATGCAATTCCCTAAGATTTCGGATGGTTGAAAATAAAATTATCAATTTCTTTAGGTCCCATTCAACATAATTTCTTTGAGTAGTAGTGAGTTGACCATTGGATGTGACCATGGAATGAAGTCACCAAGAAAATATCCCGGCAAGAGGTCCTTCTGTTATGATTGAGCTTCTCTTTTAATGACAATAACTTTGGTCCTGGCTATTGGTTGTGGTTGCTCAGAATGTTGTATGGTGAGTGGTCTGCTTCTTGTTCGTTTTTTGTGATTCTAGATGATCTTTTGAATTTTTGGAACATAAAACAAAAGGAGATTGTCCCTGTCAAAAAAAAGGAGATTGTGAGGGAGCGGTGCAACAAAGAACACTTTGCCAAATTTATTAGCGAGACAATTTAAGTAGTAGTACATATGGGACATGACATCTGTGGTTTGACGTTAAAAATTCTCACAATAGGCTAGCACATGACACTGGGGCAAAGTAAAAAAATACACAATGAATAATATAGGAGCAGGCAGGGCTAATGCCGGATTGATTGATGTGAGAAGAAGCACCCTCCCCCCCTCCCACACACACACATGCACAAACA